GGGGGGGGGGGGGGGGGGGAGTTCGCCGAGGCTGGCTGGAGGTCCCCCCTGGGGCCTGGGGCTGCTGCAGGCCTCCCCGCCCACTTGCCGCAGGGCCCTGCACCCTCCTGACTCTGGTCCCGAGCTTGGGAAGAAAGCGCACGCTGAGATCACAGGAACTCGTGCCCAGCAGGCGCGTTTACTGCGGGTTACGGTGATCTCGGTGACCCTCACACCAGCCTCCTGCCCCCACCACCCTGTCCCCAGCAGCGGCTCGCTCCCACGTGGCTAACAATCTCCGGGAGCGGGAGAGCGGAGCCCGGTTGTGGTGCCGTCAATCGCCTGGGGTACAGACTCTCCCCGTGGTCAACCTCAAGCTGCCATCACGATGTCGACTGGCTCACAAGATGCCCCCCAACTTAACTATTGGCCGTCGTGAGCCGGTTGGAGCCTGTACGAGCTGGCTCCCGCACCCGCGGCACCCCTCTGCCACGCCGTGGGCTCTCAGTGTGCTGGGTCCGGAAGCTTCAGTACTGGCAAGGTCTGCAGCAAGGAGGAACAGGCGGCAGGTCTGGGTCGAGTGGGTCAGAGACGCAGAGAACAGAATCCACTCCAGCCAATGTAAGCACAAAGGGGTTTATTGAGAGGTCAGAGGCAGCGGGGAGGGCAGTGAGACTCTGGACCCAGCTTCCGGGAAAGAGGACTACAGAAACCATGCCAGGCTCCTGCGTTTGCCGGGAGCTGCCACAAATCCAGAACATTCCATCTCTGCCACAGTCTGCCAAAGCAGCCCTGGCTTCTCCCCAGGTAACTCAGTCCGGGATCAACGTCTCCTGTAAATGCATCTGTCGAGAGCCCGCGGCAAGGGAGCCCGGGGAGCAGGTGCAGGAAAGCCGGCAGGGCTGAGGCCGGCGCACAGCGCCCACCGAGCCGTCTCCAGTGCTCGTGACCGGGACCCAGCTCCACCGCTCAGACGCCCTCGCACCCCAGCCTCGACTTGGCTGATGCCCCAGCGTTCTGCTGACCCTCTGGGAGGAGCTGACCCCCTGCAGCCCCGCACTGGGGCGTCTGCATGCACACTCCTTAGACCGCCTGCGGAATCCAAGCCGCCACCGGGCGGAGCCAGAAGCGCTGTGCTGTGCAGCCCCTGCTCTCAACCGCCTGACTCCCCTCCCCTGCTGCCCGCAGCCACCTTCCATTAAGAAAAGCACACCCGAGGGGCGCCCGGGTGGCTCGGTCGGCTGAGCGTCCGACTTCGGCTCAGGTCTTGATCTCACGGTTCGTGGGTTCCAGCCCCGCGTCGGGCTCCGTGCTGGGAGCCTGCTTTGGATTCTGCGTCCCCCTGTCTCTCTGCCCCTCCCCTGCTTGCACTCTGTCTCTCTCTCAAAAATAAATAAAGAACATTTTTTAAAATTTTTAAAAAAAGAGGAAAATACACCTGGGTTTACCCAATCGCGTGTCCAATTTAAAACCATCATCCACCCTCACTGCAGGCCAACCTGGGGACTTAGGGCCCCATGGCGGGAGGCGGCCCCCTGTTCCAGGGCTTTAGAACAGAGTCTACAAGAGGAGCCCCCAGTCCCAGCCGCACAGGAACCCTGGCGGTGCACGTCCTGTCCTCCCCATGGGGCCCAGCTGGGGGTGCCCTCCACGCAGGGGTCTTCTGCCCAGGAGCCCACCCACCAGGGACGGCCCCCGAGTGTCCAGATGGCCCATCCCCACCACTGGGCCACCCAAGGGAGCGACCCCAAAGCCCAAAGTGGAGGCAGGCTGGGGCACCAGGAGGCCACGAGTTATCAGGCATCCCCTCCTAGGGTCAGGTTGGGGGTGGGACTCTGGGCTCCACGAGGCACATCCACGGTGAGGCTGGGGACCAAGGGAGCAGGAAGCCTCCCCCAGCCCAACCAGAGCAGCTGGGCAGGGAGACCAGGCTCCCCGAAGGGTTCCATGAGCCTCTCACGGCCCCTCGTCACCCCTCTGGCCCTCAGGCCTCCCTAGAAGCCAGACCCCTTCCACCAACCCCCGTGGGAAGGAAGGGCGGCCCCATCACCACCCTGAGCTAGGGTGGCTGCTCCAACCTCCTGCCCCATGGGGAGCCCTGGAGTCACCCTGCCCTGACCCCCAGACCTTGTGACGTGTTACCTCCCACGGTAAACGGGCTTCACAGACTGGAATGTGTATGTGCATGAAGAGCTTTGAAGGTCCCTTGTCTGGGGATCACGGTGAGAGCCAAGGGCCACCCACGTTCCATAAGGCTGTGACCCCACTACCCCTGAGACTGGCCAGCCAAGACACCCCCTTTGTCGCGTACCTGACACTGTCACCACGGATTCTCCCTGGGAGGCCAGCTAGACCCTGTCCCGCCCCGGCAGGTTTAAGATGGAAGTAAATGCCCACTGGTGCAGGGCTGGGGCCGCTCAGCCGTGGGGCCCTTGGGGGCCTCCAGCGGGACGCACTCACACGTGGCATCGAGGAAGGGGGTGGGCCCTGGCAGGGTGTCGTTAAGGGGTCCCTCAAGGGGAGGGGAAAGAGGGGAGATGATGACTGTAGCCCGGGAGAGCAGAGGGCTCCCGGGGACCAGGGGGGGAGCTTCGTGGTCCCGGAGTTTAGGGACCCGGTGGTCTTCCTTGGAGGGAGGCGTGCGCTCTGGGACACCCCCTGAAGGGCAAGGTCCCGGAAAGGCCAGGAAGGCCTGGCAGCCGGACTCTGGCTCAGGGTACGAGGGAGAGGACCTCCTGGTGTGTCCAGGGTCCTCAAAAAGGGCAAGGAGGGAGGGAACCCCCACGCCCCGTGCACTCCCTGAAGAGCCACGTTTGGATGCAATCCAGGCTCTCTGGGCTCATTCTGGCGTAAGAGGAAATGTCGAGTTCCCTGGCAGGGGACAGGCCCCCACAAAGCCAAGGCCTCCCTCACAGCACGGAGGCGTACCCACAGGACCCCGGCACGCCGCCCCCACACCTGTAGCGGGTCACCTCCATCGGGCAAACCCACAGGTGGTGAGCTCCTCGGGTGGTGGCCCCCCTCTCCCCACCACACGCACCCTGGGCGGGTGGGGCCCCTGCCCGGCTGGTCAGCCAGCAGCAGCACCTACCTTCGCCCCTGGGAGTGTCGGGCTGCGGGAGGCGGCCCTGGGCCCTGCCCCCATCCCTGCACACCTGATCTGGACAGGGGGCAGAGAAGTGGGGGGTTTGGGTGCGGGAGGGTATTTGGAAGCTGGCAGCTGTTTCTTTTTAATGCACCATAACTGAAAAAGTCATGACCTCGTTTGGACGAGCCTTTTGGGTCTCAGCCGGGGAATCTGAATCTCTGAATCAACACTCAGATAGAATCCCATGTTCGTGTCCCATGTCAGACCATGTGACGCTTTCCGAGTACAGACCACCCTCTATTTTAATCCTTTCCAAGCATCTCCTCGATGAAACTTGTACCCTCTATACCTCAAGTTCATGAGCAATGTGTCCCAATTTTGTCTCCCCCCCCCCAAATATTTGAAGCAATTTAAAAATAAATACTCATACAAAAGACATCAAAAAATAAAACTGGGAAGACAGATCACAGTTACACAGGTGGAGGTAATGTCTGCCCCGAACATAAAGTTGTACAGGAATTAGCTCTGAGATTCCTGGTGGCAAAGGTGGAGAGAGAGGCAGAGAGACAGAGAGAGGAAGGGACAGACTTCCTGTTGCTGGAGAAAGGTAGCATCCCGTTGACTGGCCTTGAGACACCAAATCTCAGTCCTCCTGTCCTGGAGAAGGACCTGCTTTAGGCATCAGTGAGTAGAAAAGCAAGGCACAGTATCGACCCAGGATGACGGGCCTTCCCCCAAACCAGGCTCGGACAGTGGCGGGACCGAGGGCAGGGACGCACCGGTCTGGCTGCGGACACTGCCCTCCTTGATGATCCACTCTGGACCTTTTTCGGGCTTCTGTCCATGGTTTTCTCGGGTTTTGATTTTTACGATTTTTCCCCCTCTCCCCGGAGTGAAATTTCAGTACAAACGTTACTCTTAACAAACATTCTGAGAATAAACAAAGCTGTTCAAAGGTTAGTTTGAACTACGCTTTTTCACTTACCTCTCGAGAAAAACCTGGTCTCTACTACTTTGCTCTGGAAAGAGTCCTGTGGTCGGATGTGCTCAGGAACCACTACTCGGGGGCAGGGCAACCCAGTTCTGCGGTGTAGGACTCTGCCTCCAACAGACCAGTCGGCACCCCACCCTCTGCGGGCTGACCTCACGCTCCCGGGCGCGAGCCCATTCTTCTCTGAACGCTGTTCACACCCTACGGACGCCACGGGGAAGCGGCCAGCTGAGTGTAAGGGACATGGAACGTCACGACAGGCGGCCCGGTGTTAAGTCCCGACTGGGTCGTTTCCCAACTGTGTCGTGGCGGGCGATGCCGTTTCTCCAAGCTTTGGTTTCCTGGCCCGTCAAGCGGGCCCGACGGTAACATGTTGGACTTGAAAGGCGGGGTGGTGACTAAAACACAACACGAGAGAGGGTTCTGGAAGGGTGGGGTGCTGCACAGAAGGGCTGTGGGGACCCGCCGCTCAGGGGTCTTGCAAGCAGGGGTCAGTCACCATCCTCTACAAAAGTGCTGGGGGACAGGCGGGCAGCGCGCTGCTCCGGCCAGCGGGCACTAGGGCGCGGGGCCGACGGGGTCCTTGGACGCGGGGGCGCTGGGCAGGGACTTCAGGTACTCCAGGTGCTTCCTGGCGTCCTCCTGGTTCTGGCGCACGTAGTACACGACGTAGGTGATCACCATGGCGAACCAGCCGAACATGGTGACCAGCATGGCCACGTCGGTGGTCTTGTGGTGGGTGCTGCAGAAGCTGACTCCGGAGTCGAGCGCCTGGATGAGCGGCTTGCCCACGTACTCGTCCCGCACGGCCGTGTGGCAGGCGATCTCGTCCACCGACTCGGGGTCCAGCTTCAGCTCCCACAGCGCCTCCTGCAGCGCACACTCGCAGTGCAGGGGGTTGTGGGACAGGCGGATCTTGGCGCTGAGCTTGCCCAGGGCATCCTTGGGAATCCTGCGGATGCGGTTATGAGACAGGTCCAGCAGCCGCAGGCCCCCGGCCAGGCCCGAGAAGGCAGCGGGGCCGATGGTCTCGATGGTGTTCTGGGACAAGTCCAGCTCTCTCAGCTGGTTCAGGTGCTGGAAGGCCCCGTTGGGGATGTGGGCGATCTTGTTGGCATCAAGCTTCAGGAGCACGGCGTCGGCAGGGATGTCCTTGGGGATCTCCTGCAGGCCCCTCGCGCTGCAGTGGACGGCCACGGCCCCAGCGTGGTCAGGGCACTGGCAGCCCTGTGGGCAGGAAGCGCCCAAGCGCAGGCAGAAGAGGAGGAGGAGGCAAGACCCTCCCGTGGGGCCCGGTGGGGCTGAGGGGCTCTGCTTGCCCACGGGGCCCATGCTGACCACTCCTGGGGACACACGGCAGCGTCCGCTCACTCAGTGCCGCAGAGCTGCGTTTTTCCCCGCTGCCCCGGCCGCCGCTGAGCAAGCGACCATCGGACACACACATGAACTCTCGTTCCTCGCGTGCCAGGAAAAGCGGGGTCCTGTGAGTTCTAAAAGAGGGCAGCAAGCAGCATCAGTGACCGTGCTCCAGCGGGGAACCCCGGAGCGCTCTGACTTTGGGGGGCATGTCACGGGCACACTGAAGCATCTGACCAGTGGGGGTCTCTGTAACTTATTTCCAGGGATTCCCAACGCCACCCAGACGAGCAAGGACAGGTCGTGCCGACCGCTGGCTGGGTCCAGGAACCCTGGACACACCCACTGCACACCTAGGGGACCAGGGGCTTGCCCGGCCCGGCGAGGGTCCACCGCCCCCCAGCTGCTCAAGGCTGGAAACCGAGAGGACCGGGCTGCAGGGTTCTCTTAAGAAACCGTAACGCAGGGCGGCCGGATGAGCCGCCGACTGGCGGCGCTCCCTCTGACAGCCCTCGGGGAAGTGTAGTAAGAGCTAAAGGTCCTCTTTGTCAGCCCCGACAGGACGGAGCACGCGGCAGCGGGGGCGGCGCCTTTTTATTTCAGTTGGGTTAGAGAAAGAAGGAAACCGAGAACAGAAAAGCCAAGCCCTGGGCGCGCGGCCGCGCTGGGGCGTGGAGTGGCGGCGCCGCGCGCCGGGCCTGGCGGGCGGGGCCCG